TAAAATTTTCTATATGCATATTGTATTTTTAGCAATTATTGGTACGATAAGTACAGGTTTTATGGTGCTATGAATTATATTTGTTTGAAATCCAATGGTAATTGTTAGTAGTACCCTAAATTACTGGTCTAGACAAATATGGATAATAAGTACGTTTTGTAGGCGAGCCGGTATATCTAGTTTTTGTACTGGTCCTATTTGTTCAGCCCACGTACTTTGAAGGTTATTGACCTGCAGACTAAATTTTGAAATTTTCGCTCTGTTGTTCTTGTGGCGACAATGTTGATTTTTGTTTGAAAAGTGACTGCATATGTCTCTAGGTTAACTGTGTATATTTTATTTTAACTTTTACAGTAAGGCTAACTTAAAATTCAAAAAGCGGGTATACTTTTTGGAGAGGAACTAGGAAGTGACAGATTTTCACCTGCCTCAAGCTACCTTAATGGGCATCATCAGCACCTGTGGAAGGGTCTCTGAGTTAAGAAAAGTCGTAGTAAGAAGATTAATGGCTAAACTTTGGCTATGTAAACCCTTATGTCTCATTGTTTCCCTTATTATTGCTATTAAATCAGAATAAAATACTGACAGGTTTGGCAGTATGCGACCTTTAAGGTTTTATTTAACTTTATGTTCAGCGCAGACATTTGTAACCTTTCGCTGTGTTCCATTTAAATACAGTGGCTTAACTGTGTCTTACTCGATTTGGCCATTGGAAGGTTGTACGAAGATTTAAATTGTAAAATTTAGTAGTCGGTGTCTTGTTTGTCAAGTTATCAAGGATTGGACTGAACTAAAAGCTTGGTTGGTATAAATGCCCTAAGTAAAAGCTGGCTAGCTTTGTTTCAACTGACCTGAAAATGCGAACTCTGTCCTGCTAATCGAAACTATTAGGGAAACCATATACAGAAACGGATGTTTTTTTTGAATTTATGATGAAAATTTATCTTTTTTATTGTTAGTTTAATAATTAACAACAAAGTATTAAGCCTTGTTTTTGTTAATCAATTCAAATCATTTAAAGAAATACAATATCCCATATTGATGACGTCAAATCTAAATAATCTTTTTTTTGTAGATTTTGTTGCCAAACAACTCATTATATCTACAAGCTAAATCTTATCCTGAATGAAAGCTTCAATGCTTTTATATCAAAGTTAGATAACTAAGTCATTACCAGGTATACTACTAATGATAATTGTCTTGGCTTTGTATGACATCAGTTGCTCTATATAGCGACTCCAATTAATTAGGATGCCATGTTTCATAACTTGAATGCCTTTACGCCTTTTTGCTTTATGATTGACATACGATTTTGGAGATTTTATTTGCTTGCTCTTGAATTAATTAATGATTATGATTGATTAGCCAAAAATGGTTTTATCCTTAACTCTTATGCGTGTAGAAACAGTACTGTATGTGTGTAGAATTATAAAATTGTGAAACTTTGTTTGTTGTTAAGTGTAGTTAAATCAATAAAATGGTCAGCAAATTTTTTCGTCTTTGTGCAAACCATTTTTATGCTAACTATTTTAGATATGTCTTCTTTGAAGTCAGTTACTCTTCCAGAAATTATCATTGCTATCTCAATTTCAAACACAGATACAAAATTAGCTATCTTTCTTTTATTTAAAAGTGAAACTAGTATCGTGATGCGATAGCTAATGATAACTGTCGTACTACATGCAATAGCAAGAGCATGCGACTTGTGTTGCGTTGCGGAAACGAAATGTTTTTCAATTACTAACCGTTCTCTTTAGCGTTCATCGTTGGATTGCGTGTCTTCTGTGCCCAGTTTGTCTTGTGCTTGGGGCTTTGTGCCCGGATTGTCGTTTTCAGTCTAAAGTAAAATCATCAATATAGGCACTTTTGAACGACAAACAAAATAAAAAATAAGTTTAGCAGTGCAGCAGCTATTTGCTCCGTCCATAGTACATATAAATTACGGAGTAGAACGAGCAAAAGAGTCCATTGGTGGTAATGTTTTTCAATTAGTGTCACAATTCATTTTGTAACATCATTTAAGTTTTAGTTAGTTAGTATGATTCAGAAATCTCTAATTTCGGAGCTTTGAAAGAAGGTGTATCCCAGCTGAAAAGGCTTAATCATAACTATGGTTATTTGGCCATATCCACATTGATTTATGCAGTGTAATTCTCGTTTTGTAAGTAACTGTTATTAATCGTCGAAAATTCAAATAATAAGTACCTAATCTTTTTTCTATCCTAGGTCTATCTAAAAGTCAATTGAAAAGTCTAAATATAAGTTACATAAATATTTTAAGTGCACGGCCAGTACATCCAATTTGTGAACACAACCGAAACTTTTCTCGCAATACCGACAGAGTTCGAGGTTCCCCGAGCAGGGTAATAGCTGTACGCTCTACTAGCTATGAGTCACAGGTACTAGTGTCCGACCGTACACTACCACAGTTTATTGTTACCGTTTTGTTCAACAACTGTGTTTTTCTTAATGGGGAGTTTGTGTTGAGGGTCTATTTTGGAATTACAACTCAATTTACCTAGTTTATGTACTGATTTAACAAAACTAAAGAAGTAAAGTTAGACATGAACTGTCATTTCAACGAAATAATACGATTATACGTCTATTTTTTTTCGAATCTTACTAGATACTACCACCAACTGAAACCCGAATTCAGGAGCATATTGGAACCACATAATACAGGCACGTTTCAAAATTTGTGTTGTCCGTCAAACAGCGTTAGATTTGTAAAATAGCTAGTTTTTCATCATTCTATAAAGATTATTGTAGTATTTTCGATGTCAACAACTAAGCAATCGATTACACATATCTCTGTACCGTTCAAGTCCAATACTATGGGACTTACTGTCCAGTAACACCAGTCACTATTCACTACTGATTTCTCCAACACCACTGAAGCATACCACCAACGATTATACGCTCTAGCGGAGGTGACTCACCACCTCAACAAATTGCTACTAGCTCGATGATAACTGCAAACTCGTTAACTGACAGTTAAACTGTATACTACCTTTTAGGTTATGATAGTTTTTTAACTAGTTCGCTCGTTTGATCGGAAAGTTTTATCATCTGTTGACCCTCAGAGACAAGGAGGTTCCACACGTACAAATTCAGTTTTTATGCTTTTGTATGTTTGTTAGTCTGTAGACAAACACATAAAAGTATTGCACGAATTTCAATGTTACCATCATCAGACAGATGCGCATTAGTTACGATAAACGCTGATTCTATTTATGACACCAATAAAATACTATGTTTATTATCCTATTATAAAATTAACAGAATCAACCTACTAATTAAGATTTTGTTTCTTATACCATTTCCATATAAGTCATTGTATAGGCAATCAAATCGATTACGGCACTAAAACCATTTTAGTTTCACTTATAGGTATAGGTGGCGCTTTATATGCAAATTGAACATATGCATGTCGCAACGGCTGAATCATCGTTTGCACTAATGCCCAAACTAGTTTTGAGTTTACTCAAATGTAGGTAAAAGTGTTTGTCATTAATCTAATTTGAGTTCTTACTGATATTATATCAGCATCAATTATTATTTTTAATTCAGTAGCAGAAAATAGAAATCAAGATGACGATAGCAGAAAAATAACTCATGAAGAATCTAGTACCAAAGCTAAATCAAATGGAAAGCAATATTTTCCAAATGATTCACTTGCTATTAAAGTTACGCGAGTTAAAATGTATGATGTTAGTACAGTTCAAAATCCCAGAACTGATCGAGCTTGGAAATTGTAAAACGGTGAAACTAGCAAAGCTGAATCTACTTAACAACTATGTTTGGTAAAAGTTCACAAGTATTTTCATCTATCCTGCAGGTTAAGCCGTTTTCAACAGGTAACGGTTGAAACAACTATAAATCTATCTAAACTATTCATGAGCGTTTGTTGAAACTGCAGTTTTGCAATTAATTTGCTGCAGAAGGAATCTCTGCTGTTAGTTCGTTTTTCGATCCTTTTTATTTCAATTTAATTCTTTTCAGTTAAGCTTGGCCTTTGTTTCTTTGTGTAATGTTTGCTTTGAAGAGATTCTTCGAATGTAAAATCTTCTGAAGTAACTCTCTCATCTCATCAAGCTTGCTCTACAAAATGTTTTTCTTACCACAATTTATCAAATATTTTGTATATTATCAAGCACTAACATTTTACCTTGTCTCACGTGTGTGTGTGTATATGTGCTTATCGACACAACCGGTTATTCAATAAACGCGAGCGATACTAACCCGTGAAATGTATGTTAGTATCGTAAATACATAAACTGCGTGAAACACACGTCTCGGGGCAACATGAGTCGTTTTAATGTCAAATGACTCATACATGTGTTTGCATTTGACACGAGGCGAGGTGCCTATATGATTTGTGACTTCCAATACACGTTCATTCATTTCTTCAATCTTCTGTTTAGTATCTTCCTCAATGATTTCATCCTAGTTTACGAGCTGTCCATCATTTGTATTAATAAGCGATATATGTAAACTTTGAACTTTCTTAGTGTTTCCAGTTTCTTTGTGTATGCTTTCCTGTGTTATGTTATTTAATTTAACTTTCTATAGACACAAAGGTAACGAGCATATGAGAACTTTAGTTAAAATAATAATCTTATTATTAAAAAACTACCTTCGAAAGCATGTCTTAAAAACAACTTAAAAAACAACGGAAACTATTCCCAAAAATCCGGTTCTGAAGCCTGGCCAGTCGCCATCTGCCGATACAATAAAAATAAGAGACAACAACGAATTTTGCAAATGCCTCTCTAGATTTTAAATAACGTATGAAGATAACATAAATGGAAGAAAAATGTACAAATAAAATTGTCTTTCTCACAGTTTTTAGATTTATTTCTCTTTTAAAAGCTAAAACGCTTCAAACTATCTACTTGGTTACTCAAAAGTGAAGTGAGTGTGTGAGTAAATGTATGTACTATCTGAAACTAAACAAACTTCGTCGAATGCACAATTTCAAAGCGTCTTATCTTTTGTATCACGTGCTGACTTTTCTTTCTTGCACCCCCTTTGCCCCACCGAAGGCTGATAACTAAGCGGCGCGGCGCCTGCGCACACTGCTACCTCAGTCTCCCCTCGGCACCCGCGCGGAGCGAACGTATCGCACCTTTTATTCTATAATATAAAAATCTCAGTGATGTGACATATGAACGTGGAATGTGTTTGTGATAGTGATTTATTATTTCAAACTGATAACAGTTTCAGTTTGGCTAATGTGATATAAGGTGGAGTTTTTATCTGTGCACGAATCGACCCGATACCGTTGCGTCGCGCTTCGGTGATTCGGTTAATAACTCGTGGATCTACAGTGCCTGTGTTATAGTGGCTTTGCTAAGATTTAATGCCGTGAAAAGGTCACTTACCTTGATCGGACATTGAAAAAGTTCTCGCATTCTAGGTCTAGACATCGTGTTAATCTTAATTATGATCTTTTTACTTAGATTCCGTTGCCAAACAGGTTGTCATTTGTCTAGGCTTCTTTTGGTCGTTACTTTATTGCCTTTCCTTTTTCTTTTATCTTCAAACTAGTTTTGGCCAAGTCTGTCGTATTGACTCACTAGAGATTGTAAAGGTTCTACAACAATTTTTAATACTACGACTATTATTTATCAAGTTGTTAATATTCTGTGGACACGATTGGCACAAATTAACGTCTTTTGTTTCTACTTAAGCTTTAGATGATGTGAAAGGATGAACGACGTGAAACACTGTCCCAGTTACTTGGATCATAAAATTAATAAACTTTCATTTGTGTGATAAAGACGATAGGTTTTTTCTCTCATTATTTTCACGCTTGATAGACGGCCGGTTGTTCGGAGCTGGTTTTTGTTTCGACTGAGTGAAACGGCGGCAATTGGACCTTGATATCCGGAGTTGCAACAGAATACAATTGGTTTGTACGGCGCAAGTTGGGAACTTAGTAGTTTTGTATAAAATTGCTTCCAACAAACACAAATATGAATCTTATCAACATAAAACCTTCAAAATTACATTGTCTTTCTAACTTTCATTTTGGTTACACGAAGACCAATTGCAACCTTCTCAACAACGACCTAGATTTACTGTGACATCGAAATTTTAATTCATGGACACATTTTGAAAGTTGAATTCTATTCTGGAATTAAATTTTTGTTTTAATACTTCTCTCAGACGTATTTTGATCATCATTGTTGGAAATGTTTATATTGTATCGTCAAGTATTGTGCACAGAAATTAACATGACATTTAGTAAACAAGCGGAAGGCACACGTAATTGAAATGCCATCGTGACATTCTAAACTGTTCTCATGCAAACTAATTACGAACAAGCTAAGAAAGAGTTGTTGTAACTAGAGCACTGTTTGTTCAAAATCTAGATTTTTGAAATGTCTTAAGACTTCAAATAAATTAAACAGTCACGCTTGCTACATTTGTGAAATTACAACGACCTAGATTTTTGGCTAACCACTCGCTAATGACGCGAAAAGTGAATGATTTTTGAAGTTCTAATGACTGGGTTCGATGTCCGGCTTTTGTGTTTTCAAGGCTAATCGTCATGGTTTGCTGAGTTATGGGGTAAATGGGAGTTCAGTGAATAGATTTGTTTGCAACTATGTGGCACAATGAAGGGGGCTTTATAGTATAACACCGCTATTGAACAGTTGTTTACAAAATATTAAAGTAACTAAGCGTAAACACTCTTTCAACCTTTTCAATGGATTCTGCTATTTCCTTCTTAACATTTGTATTTCTAAGAAAAAACCCTTTTAAGTTATTTTCTGTACTTCACCTGGCCATTGCTTGCGTCTTTCAAATCTCTTTTAGCATATGTACGTATGTTTTTCGAACGTATTGTCAGATATAATCAGACGAAATCATAGTATGTGTAAATCTTCATTTTCTTCGTTGTTTTCTGTATACGTATCACTATCATCAATGATTTAATGTCCTAATGGTCATTTTTTTTTCAATTTTATTTGAATTCATTATTTAAGTTAATTGTTTTTTTAATGTTCCTTACAAACCATTCTTATTTTTGTCTCTCACATCAATATTTTTTTTTTATTATTGTTTGCCATATTTATTATGTATGTTAATGTTAATTGGCATCGCTTTACATATTGTTTGTTGTTATAAATCATTTGTGTTAATCTTATTGACGTCTTGTACTTTATTAATAAACATCTCAATAAGGTTCAGCTAGTTTACATTTTATTATCCATTATCCAATTAAAAATAGACTTGTATGTAACTTCTTAGTCTACCAATTTATACATTGATTAGTAAGGAAATATGGTCATCACCTACCAACTGTTTATCCCCAAGATTCTTGCAGTTGTTGCTACAAGATCTGTTTCCTACGACAACAACTTATCACAAAATGTCTTTTTTGCAACTTCTATAGTTTTCATTGTGCCAATTTAGTGCTTCTAACAAGCTATATTTAGTTCACTTGTAGTCTATTTATAAGCGTATTTCGCACCGACCATCGTTAGGTGTGAAAACACAGTTATCAAACAGTTAAAGAATTTGTTATCAGATTAGTACTGATATGCTAAGATAACGGCTGGAAATGTGTACCAGTGATGTCATACTTTTCGCTTTTTGTATTGGAAGTTTCTCCATGTTCTTAGCTTGCGTGCTTACGTTGAATTACTTTAAAACTAAAGCAGTTTTCTTTTTTGGTTTTCGTAGTTTATGATGAGTCTTTTTAAGATGCGATATCTTTATGGAATTTAGCCATACCGGTAGTGGTTACGACAATAGCTCATTCTTATTTGAAATGAAAAATTGTTTATTGAATCTAGTACCAATTATTATTCTGGAAGATACTGTGAAAACTTTCTAAATTTCATAGTGAAGTTATAATTGTCCTAACAAATCATAGTGCCTAAGTTATAATCAACCCAATACAAACTGACACAGTTACAAATAACGCAGTGTTCCTATAAATAAACGCGTTACTGTCTCCATCGATTATCACGTGTCCTGTATAATTCTAGCCGGCATCGATTACCTCCATTGTTCCGTTTCGAGATAGTGCAAACGTGACTGGAGACTCGACATATCTGTTTACTATCTGTATATATGTATATTAGATTGATAAAATAATGTACTATGCTCTACAGATTATTTGTAGGCTTGTTAGCTAGCCTTAAAATGATTGGTGTTCGAAGAAACGTTTGATAGCTGAAGATAAGTAGCGATGATCGTACTTTCTGCAGGTTTATTAAAATGTTTTATTTTTTGTGAATGTATATTTTAATTGATTGGCCTTTGCGACATATTGATAAATGTGGGATGACCATTCTTCGGCATGAATGGGTCTACTCGACCTGAGCGATAACAAGGCCTCGCAGAAATCCCGCGTAAAATGACGCTTGCCTTGTGTTTCGGGGTGTAAGTAAAGCTATCAGTTGCCCAATCTCTGCGGATGGGGTACCATCCGCAGTGAGATACTTAACCCCCAAAAAGCCGACGATAAACTTGTAATTGTTTCAATTGTAAGCTAGTTGGTTATTATCCCATTAAAAATGCTTAAAACATGAGATATTTCGTTTGTGCCATGCAGAGATCTTGTAGATTATTCTTATTCTAAAAGGATTCTAATGCAGTTTTTTTTTGTCCAATGTTATTATTGTCCTTTATATCCATAGCATGACCAACGACTAAATCTACTTATAGATCGGACAGCAATTTAAAATGGTGCAATGCAGTCGTGTTATTGACAGTTTTTTGCTCGATGGCCGTCAATCGATCGACAGTCTTACCTTCATTTAGTAATCTGTTATAATCAATATTGTCCAGTTGCTGCACCTTTAGCTATTAAGTGGTTATAATATTTTCAATTAAATAACACTAGTCAAATTATTCTTTATTCAGAAATATAAAAACATTACTACAACTACACAAACATTTACTTCAGTTTTATCATTTAGACTGGTTTTCACGTCTATAATTCGTGGACAGATATCTTTTATCTATTGTTAGTGTTCATTCAATTAAAGGTATTTTTTACTGCCTTCTTTAATCTGGCTTTATTTTCAGGCATCAGACAAAGCAGCGTTTGCGTTGAACTTGCCAAATCTGAAAAAACTGCCGACTTATATTTCTTACATTTAAGTTAATTTGTTTATCACGCCCTAGCTAACTGCTGTTAATACATACAAATTAACTGTCATGTCCTAGAAATTTTCACTATTACGACTGACGGGCAAGTGATCTCTCGATCTCATACTTAAATTAAAAAGTAGTAAAAGACTTTCAAAGTTTAAGATTTTGCTAGCTAATAAGCATTTCTCAGGTCTGAAAACATAAGTGGTGAAAAATTGTCGTAACGCTTAATCTAAGCACCTCTGCGTACTTTTCAAAGATTAAAAGGCGTGTTATATAAATAAAAGAATATGTATTGACAACCCCGCGACCTCTACTCCGGGTCGAAGTGACCTTAGCACCGATATCTATGCTATTTGTCCAGTAGACCAGTAAATATCTTCGTATTTGTGTTTCATTAATAACTTTAAGTTGAAATATTCATAACACACAAAGTCTTAACATCAATTTTGTCAGTATTGTCATCTTAAATGCAAAAAAGGTTGCCTTTTTTTTGCAACCAGGAAACTTTGAACTGAAGGTAATAAGGTAACCGAGGTCTCAATAGCAATTTAGGCTTACTTTAATATACATATAAATGCCTGGCGATACGGGCTTTATACTATCAAACTCTCATTTAACCGGTTTCATATGCAAAAAGTAATCATTAGGTTCAACTTCTGTAATTTTGGATACAAATTTTGGTGGTTTTTTAAAGAATTTTGCGTTTTATTTGTAATTACATAGAATTGTTTTACAATATCATTAATAGGTAACGAATATGAATGATGGACGTACGAAGATCTGTATATTACAAAATATATCTCGTATAACAGCATCACTTTCTGAGTTTGACTTATATCGTTTTAAAAACTAAAATTTTTAAACACCCTAAACACATTTCTATTCCAGGAATAGAAAGTAAATTCCATCAAAAATCGCTAAATCCTCTTATATCGCGTCATTGAGGGAGAAGCTTAGCCGTCTAACTTATGGGAATGCTTTAGGGATTGACCTTTTATCTCGGACACGTGTTGGTTATAGTTCAAATGTGAGAATTATCTCAGTGTGTGGTCTAAACGTGACGATTTAGAGTATCAGCTGTTTCCATGGTATGACGTCATTGTTTTGGTGTTATGTGGGGGCAACTGCC